CTGTTTTAGGCCATAATGCATTGACTGCAATTTCACCTTTAAATTCTTCTGCCATTCCAAGAACACACATAGACATACCATACTTAGCAATGGTATAAGCTGAAAGAAACCACAAGGAGAAATAGTTTAAAAACAAGCTAACCTGTGAGTATAAACAATGAATTCTTTCTCACTATTTCCTTCCTGCCATTTTTTCCCCCAGAATTCTCTTCAAATAGATAAAGCTGCAAATCTGTATTGAAAGAAGTACAGTAGCAATGTTCCTTAGAAGCCAGGATGAGAAAACTTGATTTTATATTTTTCAGGCATGTTATCAGGAGAGGCTAATACCCTAAAGAGGGACATCCTGCTTGGAAAAGTGGAGGGTTGGTGAAAAAGAAGAAGAGCCTCGGGGAGGGGGGCTGATGAAATGGCTGTAACAATGAGCATAAGCACAACAGAGAGGACAAGTTGTAGATGCTTCCACGCTAAGAAAAATTACAGTAAGAAATGTGTACTGTTCTTTTTAAATAATTACAAAACTCACTTAAAGGCAAACTACTACTGCCAGTTAAACAATAACCAAATAAAGGTTGTGAATTTGTTGAACCAATCAACAGAGCATATTTCAATCTTCTATGGTTTTTCTATTCTAGATACATGCTCAAATCTTAGCAAAGGTTGTTGAAGGATCAATGTCTGAAACAACTATTTCTATGTAATCTTCACACAAATCTTGTTATTTAGATTGCTCTTATTGCTGTGTATAATCAAGCTCATACCAACTCATGGGAACCTTGAAGGACAGAACACAATTACCTCACAAGACTTCCTAGGCTGCAATCTGTTGGAGAGTTTTTCACCATGTTTACTGAGGAATAAGTTACACAAAATAACATATACCTACTTGATTGACTGGAAAAGGATATAAGGGAGCTTGTAGGGTAAAAGAAATTCTATCTTGATTTGAGTATACATTTGTCAAATTCATCAAACTGCATTATTAAGACTTACTCATTTTACTGAATGCAAAGTATATATAAATATTTTAAGTCACAGATAAAAGTTAATTACTTTCCAAAACACTATTAATTTTTCATAGAAAATTTAATGTTGAATGCTAAGAATCAATTTTATTTTATCATAGGTACAGTGATTTAATTAAAAACAAATTAACCAAGAAAGCCATGCCCCTACCCTACCACTTACCACAGTGCTGTTTGAACCATAGTGGATTCAGATTCAGCGGAGGACTGAGATTGAGAATATGAGCAATATTACTCTTTTTCAAATGAGGAATACATGCTTTAGATCTGAAAGCAAAAGAAAACATAAGTTAATAATTTTTAACAACTTTTCCATCTTTTAAAGTTATTATTATTTTTTAAACATTTTTTTTTATTTTATTTTTGTGTGAGTGTACCATCAAATCAGATCTGACTGGTACAGGAGGAGATTGTCCCTTCTTTTCTCGGCAGAGCATCTGGTGGATTCGAACCGTGTGCCTCTGGGATTGTAGTTGCAGCTCCTTGCCACTAGGCCACCAGAGCTCCCCTTAAAGTTATTATTTTAAACCACTTCCATAGAGCAACTGAACTTGCTCTCTAATCTAGTGTACATTTGTTTTGACTTTTATAGAATAAATTTAGAAAAAGCAATAAATTCACACATTTATAAGTTTTGTGCTAAGGTCTGACAGCATGATCTGGTTTGTGAAAATAATAAAGTCTAATACATTAGTCTTAAGCTCAAACGAAGTTATCCTCAACTACAACCTTCCTAAATTCTCCACTTGCCAAAATATACATGTAAATTTCAGTAGTAGTTAATGTACTTGACAGTCATAGTTGTGGTAAATATCATGTGTTCAAGTTACACAAATCTGAGTTAAAAACCCTTCCATCTGCACGCTACCCACCTGGCCTTCAACATGAGTAATTCTACGTTAGGTGCGTTTTTCCCAGGAACAAGTCCTGTCTTCTATATTTTATTAAAAATTCTTAGCACTATGCATAGAAATGAATACCTTTAGTTTAGTAGAACAGTTGTTTATTGAAAACTTACTGTGTGCTGTGAATTTTACTTACTACTCTTATGTGCATCATGTGATTTAATCAGAGGCTGCAAACTCAAAGACCTATAGGGTATTTGAATATAGAAATAAAGTGAGCTAAGCTCTTTGGAGGCAAGAATGATGAGGCTTTGCCTCATAAACTTTGGGCATGTTAGGAGGTGCTATTCCTTGGAGAAGGACATAATGGTGGGAAGGGTGGAGGGTTGGAAAAGGAGAGGAAGAAGATCCTCAACCAGGTGAACTGACACAGTGATTACTGCAATGGGCTCTTGTGTGTCAGGAAGTGTGAGGATGGCACAGGATAGAACAGGTTCAGATCTTTTGTTCACTATGAGTTGTGTTTGATTTGATGACACCTAATAAAAACAATAACAGGCATTAAAAAAAATCAACTGTACCACAACAAGATAAAGGTAAACAATCCAATTGAAAAATGAGCACAGGATATAAACAGACACTTCACCAAAGATGACATTCAGATGGCAAACAAGCACATGAAGAAATGTTCAAAATCCCTAGCTCTAAGAGAGATGCAAATCAAAACAACTATGAGATACCATCTCACCCCAGTAAGAATAGCAAAATTTAACAGAACAGCAAGCAACAAATGCTGGTGAGGTTGTGGAGAAACTGGAACCCTTATTCACTGTTGGTGGAAGTGTAAAATGGTGCAACCACTGTGGAAGGTGGTGTGGCGCCTTCTCAAAAAGTTGCAAATAGAGATACCATTTGACCCAGCAATTCCACTACTGGAAATATACCCCAGAGATCATAACTGACATCCAAGCAGATACATGCACACCTATGTTTATCATGGCTTTGTTCACAATAGCAAGGAGTTGGAAACAACTTAAGTGCCCATCAACAAATGAATGGATAGAGAAGCTGGTATATTCACTAAGCTGCATTGAAAAAACAAGAAACTCATGCAATATTATTCAAAATGGGTGACTCTGGAGGACATTCTGCTGAGTGAAATATCTCAGTCATAAAAGGACAAATATTGCATGGTGCCACTGTTGTAAAACAGGACTGACCTCGGGTTTGAGGGAAGACTGAGAAAGATGGGTTCAATAATGTATACTGCATTGAAACAGATGAGGGAGAGAACTGTTTAAAGGGGATATGTGATTGGGTATTATTGTCATGACAGGTGTATAGAGCGAAGGCTACATGGTGGAGTGGACCTGGGGGGAGGGAATGTAAAACAATGAAATAATTTTTCTTTTATTTTTCAAAGAAAAGAGTGTACTGGGGGCGGGGGAAGGGTGGGCACGGAGAAAAGTACAACAATGAATGGAAATCCAATGATCTGTAAATTTTCATTAAAATTAATAAAAAATATGATTAAAAATAGAGGAAAAAAATTATGTAGATGTGAGCAGTGTTTAGATGGAATTTAAAAATATTATAAATGTGAACTGTATTTCATCTGAGTGTTATTCTCTGTTTAATGAAATAAAGTTGTTTGCTCTTGCAAAAAAAAAAAAAAGAAAAATCAATTGCTTAGAAATAAAATCAAATGCCATTATTAAACTCCTAAAACATATAGCATGACAAAAACAAATATAATACTAGCTAGATATATATTAAATTAAAATTGGAAAAATTTAAGTTAAAATAGAAACATTTCATTAGAAATTTGCCTTTTAAAAGAGGGTAAGAAATCTGTCACCTTTTTTGTTTGGTTCTAAAGAACAATGTTCAGTCTTTCATTTAGAGTTGTAATATGCATTTTGCTGGAAGTTGTATCCAGTTATGTTAAAAAAATAGTTGTTCATAAATGTAAGAACTTTGAAAAATGGTTAGAATCTTTGCATAACATTTGTGGTTTTTATTAAAAGGTATCTGTTAATAGTACTCATAGACCTGTTACTCTAGCATATGTATATTTAGCTTTTAGTACTTTGTTGTTACTATTATTGTGTACTGTAGAGTTGGAACTAATGCACTGCTGCCCCTCCAGTGGGTTTTCAGAGGCAGTTAATCGCACAGGAGGAGACTTCTCATCCTTCACCCGCAGAGCAACTGGTGGTCTCGAACGACAGGCCTTTGGGATTGCAGAGCAGCTTTTTGCCACTAGACCACCAGAGCTCCCCTAGTGCCCTGTATATACATTTCACTCATAGTTCTTCAATCACATAAATCTAATAGGAATGTAATTTAGGGTGTCATTTTCCTGTTTTGGAAAAATTAAGGGTCAGACTGCCCTTGACAGCAGGTTTTCAAAGATACAATTTTATAAGGAATGAGCTAAGAGAAGCATATATTTGTATTTACATTATTCATATCAACTAAAAGGCCAATCCTTGATCCAATCTTTGGTTGAGAACTAAGTGAAGAATTTTCTTTTTTTTTCCCTTCAGGTGCTTTCTTTAAAATTAGAAAATATCTCTTTAGCAGTATGCTGTGGCCACTAACCCTGTTATAGATATGAGTAACACAGTGTGTTGATTATTCAAACCTTGGTAGTTAATTTTCAGTATTAATAACATGCTACATTTTTACCTTTTTTTAGTAAGACTTAACAAACTTAACTCTGCACCCTTGCAGAACATCTTTGTATTACATTTTAATATTGTCAGTAGCACTGTCTACAGTTATAACTTATTTTGACAAGTATATGTTAAATCTTCTTAGACTCTTCTCTGTACTTAGCAAGTCATCTCCTGATGTTGTTCCTGTCACAGGTAATGAGCCTAAAAAATGTTTCAATCTCTTGACATTATATATATATAAAGAAGTAGGTAGTGTATTTATAGCTGTGGCTTCACTATCAGCAACAGAAATTATCACAAAAGATTTATATTTTTTAAATACTGTGCCCTTCTAAGCCTTATTTCAGAATGCTGAGCAGCTGGTTAAATTATATTGTTAAATTTATATGGTTAAGTTTATATTGTTAAATACTTGTACTTACAGTTTGTATCTACATTCAAAATTCTTTCATAAGGTTGCCAGTTGTAAAATTCCATAAGGTCCAGATAATTCACCCCTACCCCCAATGTAACTGTATCACACAGCAGCACTGCTTGTTTCATTTGGGGGAAAACATCCTGCTGAAAAGTGAGTCCTGTTTCTAGTATACTAAGGTTTTTGTTACAATCTTTTCTGCATGCCTGCCATAGTTACTATCATGGTTTGGTTCACTACTGTTAGCATTCAACAGAAACAGATATAGTGGGCATACTGAGTTCATAGAAATATGCCTCAAACCTACAAAGAAGTTTTCACCCACTTAACTTGAACACAATGCCCTCCTGATATATGTTTCATTTTCCCACTTTATACAGAGACACAGATATACAAAATATTTTTACTTCTTTAATCCATGAAAAAACAATGCAAGCAGAATAACAATGCAATTTTTCTGTTTGACCTCAGCATCCAAATGACAATGAAACTCAGGACCCATTTAAGGAAGCAGATTTTGTAGCTAGCTTCTACCAGAAAAGAAGGCTACCTGAAGAAGCCAGATTTCTCTGCTTTTCAGGAAAAGCCAGAAATCTAGATTTTTAATGTAAGTATCTAATGAAATTTTGAATGTAGGTAATCAATCAAAACAAATTTGTTAAACATTTCCAGGATCAAGTATTACAGACAAAACCAAATCTGAGGGCAAGATTTAGTTCTTCAATGTAAGAAATTCCACATTTAACCTTCATAATCATCCTTACGACAGTCTATTTCATCCTCCTGATTTTATACCTCAGGAAACTGACTCTTCCAGAGAGTAAGCTACTTGTTCAAAGTCACAAGTTAGCAAGTTATGGAGGGTAGAAATGGTGCTGCTAGCCTCATAGCTACCCATAGGATAACGGCAGGGTTTGAAGGTATACAAACAATAAATAAATGGAAAAATTGAAAAACAGACTGTGTGATTAATCCAGAGTAGGTTATATTCTCTTTAATTCTATATAGTGCACTTCTGATAATGCCCCCAAGAGAGTATTATCCTTTTTGTCAGTCATAGTAAACTAAGATTCCCAAGAACTTCATGCTATTTCTAAAACTTGAGAAATGTTTGTTTGTTTTGTTTTCCTGATTTTCTTTAATTCAGTTGCCATCTTACATGATACACTAACTTGAGAAATTTTAAGGAAAAAAAAAAAGCAATACTCACTAGGTTGGTAAGAAAAAGACAATAAATGACAATGGTATGTATATATGTTTTATGGCTGCAAATATATGAAAACGCTCACGCTACATGTTAGTCTTTATTATGTACACAGAGAAAAAGTACTCTGAATAATCTAAAATATTATTTTTGTAATAGCTTAATATCTTTTTTTTTAATTTTTTTTAGCTTAATATCTTTAAAATTAAGGGATTGACTAGATTTCAAAATACTAAATTGGTTCAGATCTTTACCACTGAATTCTCTGAGAAAACATTACAGCAAACCTCCACCTCTTCTTTTTAACTTACGTAAGGTAGGTGCCTCTGGTATTGACATTCATCATCAAATCCACTCTCTTTGTAGGTGTTTCCAATGTGTTGGTCAAGCTAATAGCACTGGCATTATTCACCAAAATATCAATTCCTGTTTTTGAAAGAATCAACTTCATTTTATTATTACTTTATCATAAAAGGAAATAAAAACATTACTAATTTATCACAAAAAGAAATACTTTTGTTCACTATAAAATCCTCAGCTTATCTGCTTCAATTTGATTTATTCACAAATGTCTTTTTTATATGACTAAGCAGTATGTCAATGCAAGACTCAGTAGCCATTCTAAAACAGCATCCAAATGCTGTTTTCACTGGCATAGTTGTTGCTGTTAGGTGCTGACAAGTCTAGTATGATGCATAATAATCCATAATAATTCATAATGAACAACAGATCTGAACCCTGTCCAATCCTATGTCATCTTCAGCGTCTCTGACATATTTAAGCTGTGAATTACCAATTACTGTAAAAAAGACCTTTCTTTGCTTATTTTTTATGGTTTGTAGCTTTTATCCTTATCTGTTCTATTTTTCTCTCCTGATCTTCCCTCCCTGTCTTTCAGATCCTTGAGTCAATTTCCTTTTCTTATAGCATCTTTTCAAGGCCTGCCTTCCTCCCCAGAACACCAAGGTCTGTTACTTAAAGGAAAGAGCTCCTTTTTGGGTCTTGGGAACTGTCAAAAAGAAAAGAGACGTAAGGTTTCAATCCTAGGAAAATCATCAAAGAAGATAAAGTTTGCTTTGGTGACCCATAACTATTGCATATTTCATCCAATCACAAATGTAACAAATTATATGATTAGTGAAGAAAATGAAATAAAAATATTAAAACCGAAAAATTACATCTAACATTTTTCTGTGTTTCTGTGTAGTCTTGATAACTATTCTTTTCATAGGGCACTTAATATTCCAAGTTGAAATATAACAATTTATCTACTCTTCTTCTGCTGGGATTAGACTTTAGAAATGAACCACTTTCTCATCCTTTTTACTTTTCTACAGCCTTCTCAATATGTTAGTTATAGTTTAAATAAAGTTACTAAAATACTTAGTATCCCTTTCTCATATATAGTAATACTATAAAAATATTGATCATGTGCTAATCTTTCAGTTTCCACATCATAAAACACAGAGTTTGTGATGAAAATACATTCTTAGAGTCTTTGGATTCAACTACATTATATTTTATAGCTTTATTAAAACAAACTCAAACTTAAGCAACCACCTGTATATAAATCTGAGACAAGTTCTAGGCCCTGTGAAATAAAACAAGTCAGAATGAATAAATGGTCTTTGACTTATTACCAGTTTCTGTTCTGATGGTTCAGTTGTAAGCAAAGCACTTAATTTCTTTTTCTGTTTTCACACTTATTGTCTTATTATTAGTATCTTTAGAGATCGTACTTTTATTTGTCATTGATACAATAATAAGATATTTAGTATCTTTAGAAATATGGCCTTCATTTGTCATAAACATTACATATAAACTTCCATGTATATTTGAATACGTACATTTAAAAAACCCACAAAGATCATAAAAATAAATGTGCAATTTAATGTAACTCAATTATGTGGTGAGTCAGGGACTGGCTACAATGAAGACAGTGATAGCTGCCTTCACAGGTGACAAAGACCAGTTAGAACATTTTTTAAAATTCAGTACATGCTTCTCAATTCATAAAGCTAGGCTGTTCAACCACAATATAACAAGGTAATAAACAAGAGGCTATGTTTACACAAGGCACTTTGTTAAAGCAAGAGAGACAAGGAAGATAATGTCTATGAAATGAAGTAGCCAGTTGAGAGCAGAGCAAACCAAATCTAGGTGTGAGATGCTGGACTGGTGGATCTACATATAAACACCACCTGTATAGAATTACTATACTCAGGGAAATAAAGCCAGTTAAGATGGAGAAAATCAATGGTGCTTTTTGCAAATCCAGAATTTAGTGACTTCTCTCTCACTACAGGATAGGAGGTAAGAAGTACATTAGCAAAGTACACATGTGAGCCTGAGAAATGAGCAGAACTTATGTTGAATTTGATTAATGGTCTTTTTCTAGGATAAAGAAAAACAATTTTATCCAATTTAAAAGGTAGGTTAAAATTTCTAAACTCAGTCAGGATAAATAAGATGAAATGAGGAATAATAGCAGAAAAGGATAAGCAAAAGACTCATACATGGTGCCTATTGGAGAGAGGGGAAAGAAGTTTTTTTGTCTGATGCACTGTTGTTGTGATGCACCAATGAGTAGGAACCAACTCACAGCTGACTCTCCTGCAGGTTTTCAGAGGCAGGAAATTGCACTTGAAAGAAGGCCCATCTTCCTGTGAAGGAGTTGGTGGATTCGAATTGTGTGCCTTTGGGACAACAGTGCAGCTCCTTACCACCAGACAACCATAGCTTATTTAAAAAAACAAAACAAAAAAGAAAAAACAAGCCAAAATACAAAACAACCAAACAAATAAAAAAATATTCTGCCTTTGAGTCTGAACCAACTCATAGTTGATCTTCCTGTCTTGGGTTACCAAGGCTGTAAATCGCATGAGAGGAAGACTGCCCATCTATCTCTCACAGAGCTACTTATAGATTTGGACAGCCTTGGAGCTGCTGGTGGATTGAAATCACCAGAGTGAGGCAGTCCTTGTGTTAACAGCATACTTCATTACCAAGTAGGCCACTAAAGCTCCCCTACTTACTCAAGGGCTGAAAAACTTGACGGGTAGGAAAGGCAAGGTGCTCGAGAGTACCAAAACACCCCGAGGCAAAGGTTTGAAGGCATCAACTGTTCAGAATTTGGTAAAGGTGAACTAAAGTCAAGTCTCTCTTAAAGGCAGAATTCAAAGGTCTATTGAATTCAAGAGCAGAAATCTATAGCAGTAACAACCACAATATGTGACAATATGGAAGGAAAACAAAACTAACAAAAAATAAACTCTTTGGATTTCTGCAGAAAAGAACATAGGGGCAAAAAGTTTAGGTTATAAATTATCTGTATAAATAGTGTCCACCCTGATTAGAAGAGAGTAGAGTCACTCAATGGAGTCTACTCTTAACTCCTCACTGGATAGCAGGAAAACAGAACTTAATAGGGAAACAGAAAGAAAAAAAAATTTAAATATATTAAAGGGGACAATAAGGGGGACAGAGAGAAAACTTAGGAAAAACTTTAAATAGAGGCAACTCCACCAAAATTAATAACTTTAGCAAGAATACAGGAATGTTTTCAGAGAGATGAAGGAAGAGTTTCAACTTTGAACTTTAAGTTCTCTGTGGCAACAAAAGGAGGAAGAAGTAATCTATGGGATGTTAATTTCTCTGTGTTGTTGATAACCATCAAGTCAGAACCAACAGCTGACCTTCAGAGTAGTTTTCAGAGGCAGTTAATCACACCGGTGGAGACTTCCCATTCTTCTCCTGCAGAGCAGCTTGTGGATTCCAATCATGTGTGTCTGGGATTACACCACAGCTTCTTAACACTAGGCCACCAGAGCTCCCTATTTGTGGTGTAGGACCTAATTCTAACTTCTCTGTAGGATCTCAATATTGAAGTAGTGGTAATTTACATGTTGATGCACAGGCATGTATTACTGGGCTTTGGTGTCATGTAATGTATAATACGCAAATATCAAATGAACTAGGTTGAAAAACACAGCTAGAAGAAGAGAAATTAAACAGGAGGTGAACAGCATGGCCTTGGGCATATTTAACTAATATTCTCTCTGACCCCTTTCAGAAGTTTCTTGAGACAATGTTACGCAACAGCTGAATTACTGCTATTAGTGGAATCAGAAAAAAGTAAAACTTGAGGAAGAGCTTAGATAAAGGTGGTGGATCTGATGGTCTCATTCTTCAGGGACGAGAAATTCACCAGTTGATCAATAGGAAGGACTACAACAGAAAGAATATAGGCAATCCCTATCACCTTCTCCATTTTGTTCCTCCCTCAAAGGAACCACGTTAGTATGGTGAGATTCTAGGGCATAAATCTTGGCTACGTTCCAGTATTTGGAGTCCCTGGATAAAAAGCCAATCATATGACTGTGTTTCTCTGTCCCTTCTCTTCTATATATATGACTGTTAAAAAAAAAAAAAGTACTTCTGTAATCTCTCTTTTTACATTTTTTTTTAAAAATATTACTTTGACAAAAGCTGCTAGCCACTGCTAAGATTGTGAATTTAAAGGAGATGCTCAACTTAACATCAAAGCCCTGGGTTCTAGTTTAACACACTATAGCACTCTATGAGGCCTTAACAGTACAATGAAGCACTATTTTGCTTCCCATCTGCCAATGTCTCTCATATGCACATACAGTCCCTGCAACAGCATGGAGAAAGAGTGGTACTGGTTTGCACAGGATCTGGGCAAGCCTAAATGCCTGGCCATCAAAGCTTTATGCAGCCCCTTTTAGAAGTATATTGATTATTGTTGTTATGTACTATAACGTTAGAACTGACTCATAGCTGACCCTTCAGTGGGTTTTCAGGGGCAGTTAATCACACAACAGGAGATTACCCATCCTTCTCCTGTAGAGAACCATATGCCTTCAAGATTGCAGTGCAGCTTCTTGCCACTAGGTCACCAGAGCTCCCTGATTTGGGAGATAAATACTAAGACTTAAACTATTTGGCTGGAGTAGGGAGTTTCTTTTTTTTTTTTTTTTTTAAAAATGTTTCTTTAAAAAAAAATGTCTGTTGAGGTCAGAGTGTAAAATATTTTGAATGCCAATAAGATATCTGCACTTTACCCAGATAAAAGAGTTATGAGAGCTGGAGAGATGTAAGTGGATGGGACCTGGGGACCACTTGGTTAGGTGTATGCAATTGTTAAGGTTCTAATTTTATTTTGTGTGATGGATTTGCAAATAATACTAAAAAATTTCTAATAAAAAGAAAAATCATCGGATGGTATGATCTGATGTTTCTGTATGAACAAATACTCAGTTCTGGTAATATTCCAAAGTTTAATAAAAATCTCAGTTTCATTAATATCTAGTTATAACTACATTTTACCCAATTTCAGTAACAGTTTTAGAATTAAGGCACTACCTCCAAATTTCTGGACTGCTTTCTCCACTGCATCACTGATTTGCTGTTCATCTCTCACATCAACAATACATGGCAAGGCTTTTCCTCCAGCTGCTTCAACTACAAAGGGCAAACAAACAAAAGGGCACTAAAGCATTCAATGTTACTTTTAATTGGGTAGAACAGTTAAAAGGGAAGGGGAGTACAATTTTCCTAAAATCAACATAAACAGATACATCTTACAATCACTAAGTGATTCAACCCTGAAAAGTAGGAACAGATTAACTACCTCATCTAACTTCAGACTGGCCAGGCCAATTCTATTAAAAAACCAAAAGATATTAATTTCATATATATATAAAAGGCAAGTGATCTAAAAAACTCTTATCACTATGAAACATTTAAAAAAATAAACAAAAATTAAAGAATAATAAAGTAACCTACCATGACCCTACTGCCTGCCTTAAATGATTGCTGATATTTTGCCAGGTATTTCTACATTTTCCCAATTTTTACTGGTACATTTTAAAACAAAGGTCAGTTGTTACTTCACTCATACATAGTTAATGTTTCTCTCTAATATAACCACAGTACTATTATCAGAACTAGTAAAACTAGCAATATCAGCTAACGTCAGCTAAAGTTGCATTTTAAACCATAAAATTTTTCTCTTGGGACTCTGTCTCCTGACACAGCCTTGAAGTAAGCACTCAATACATGTTTCTGAGTTTTAAGTATTAGAACAAGACTTACAAACAGTCTAGAAAAGATATAACATGAAAAGCTTTTCCAAAGTGTTTACATCATTTACTCTTCGGATTCTGTCTCCACTACCATCCTCTTCCCTAATCCCCATCCAAGAACCACTGCACTTGTAACAGAATTTTTAATGGGAGTCCCTCTAATCACTCAAAGGTGTTGACGACAACAACAACAACAAGAAAAAAGGTTCCAAAACCACTGCTTTAAAGTGACAAAGAATAAACGCTTACTTCCTTAATTATAAAATTATCTTAGGGTAACTTTGATATAACTATGCATCATCTCAACAGTAGTGGATATGTTGGGTTCATACAGCTACAACTAAATTGTCCAGCAAACTCATTCTACGTTAAAACCAGTGTGAAGAGGTTTTTGGAAATTGTGTAGTCTCACTCACTTTCTTCAGCAGCAGTATAGATTGTGCCTGGAAGTTTGGGGTGTGCCTGGGTTGTCTTCGCAGCAATGACAATATTTGCTCCATCCTTTGCTGCTTTTAAGGCAATAGCTTTGCCAATGCCACGGCTTGCCCCCGTGATGAAAACTGTACATCCCGCTAGTTTCCTGTAACAAAACAAACGTGATCTTATAAGAAACTTCAGTATTTTATTTACTAGCCAATATCATACAAATGTTGGAAATAACTCAGCACAATATGTATGTTGTTTTTGTTGTTTTAATCAGGAACTCAAGCACATTTTTAATACACATTGACTCTTCTTCCATGAAACATTACTTGAACCTCATTCACTAATCTGATAGCTAATAAAGTTTCTGTAATCCCACTGTACAGTATTTACAGATTACTTACTACAACTACTGGTTGCCAGCCATACAAGGATTTGGTAAATCTGCTTCAATGTTGCGTACATCTTTAAGAGAAATAAGTAATTAATAAAATAAATGATAAACTATTTCCATGGAAAAACTGAGAACAGAACTTATTTCTGAGTTGGTAAGACTATGAGTAAGCTTTGCTCATATTATTTATAGTTTTCATTACTGTTCAAAGTTTCTACAATGATTGCATATCACTTAAAAAATAATCCCAAACCAAACAATTATTCAGTTAATGCTCACCATTAGTATAACACATATTTCTAGCTATTTTGGGGGAAAATTTTCCTTTGAGGGAGAAAAATGTTTATAGGGATTTAAGAAACTAAAGCTTATTTTCTCTTTACAGGTTAACAGCCTAGGCTTTTATTTATGCTGGCTGGATAAAAAGTAAAAGTTGTAAGGCTGTTTACTAACCTGACTTCATGAAATATCATAATTTTTTTACCTTTTAACCTGACATATAGCTATCAACTGCAAATATTGTTTTAATTATATGGTGTTGTTGTTTGTGTGTGTCATGGAGTCAGAACCAACCCATAGCTGACTCTCCAGTGGATTTCCTGAGGCAGTAATCACAAGAGAGAAGACTGTCCATCCTTCTCCTGTAAGAGCAGCTACTAGATTCGAACTGCGTGCCTTCAGGATTGCAGTGTAGCTTCTTACCAGTAGGCCACCAGAGCTCCCTGTATTACAATTGTTGTTATGTGCCGTCAAGCCACCTGTGACTCATAGCGACCCTATGTACAACAGCCCTAAACACTGACTGCTGACACATCTACCCCCATTACCCCCGTCACTGAATCAATTCATCTCATTGAGGGTCGTCCTCTCTTGCACTGTCCAAGCATCACATCCCTCTCCCAGGACAGGTCCCACCTTGAAACATGTCCAAAGTATGTCAGACAAAGTTTCAGAATCCTTGCTTCTAAGGAGCAGCCTGGTCTCACCCTCTCTAGGACAAACCTGTTTGTTCTCCCAGCAGACCATGGTATTTTCAATACTATTCTCCAGTACCACAGCTCAAAGATGTCAATTCTCTTTCTATTATCCTTAGTCATTGTCCAGTCTCTGATGCATAGCAAATAACTGCAAAGACTATGACCTGAATGAGGCACGCCTTAGTCTCCAGACTGTGCTATGAAATTTCTGTAAGAGGGAGTCCCTACATTAAACATGAACAATTCCTAACGATGTCTTTAATGGTGAGTCAGATCAAGTGCATATAGTTCTTATTTTGCTTTACTTTAATGTGAGAAAAGTATGAAAGGCTTTCGAATGACTTAAAACCTTCAGTATTAAGTGAGGACAAATTTATAGGGAGCTCCAGTGGTCTAGTGGATAAGGAGTTGGATGGCCAACCCAATAGCACACGATTCTAATCCACAGCTGCTCAGGAATTTGACTACAAAGCAGCAGGAATTAATGTATTTTAGGTTGTTTTTTGGGTTTTTTTTTTAACAGAAGTACATTAAATAGCCACCTGAAAACCCAAAAGCAGTGAAGTTAATTCTGGCTAATCTCATTGCTGTGGATCAGAACCAGCTCACAGCTGGCTCTCCAGCAGGTTTCCGAGGCTGTGAATTGCACGGGAGCTTGTCTGCCTTCCTCCCTCGGAGCAGAACCCCCAGCAGCAGCCTAATTCCCTAATGAAGAAGCCACGAAACCTTCCTATTCTCATAGTAACTTTATAAGAAACACTCAAAAATCAGTAATTGAGAACACAGTTCTACTATTACATGCTTGAGTTTGCTATCAGTCAAGAGTCAACTTGAAGGTAGTGAGTTGTGACACTTGATTGTTCTTGTTGGCACTTGATTGTCTCATTGTTGGCAATGGCACAAAAGATAAGTACGTCAGTTTTAACTCCTTTGCCCAAAGATAATGGGCAATAAATCTTCTTTTAGATTACATATGACTATCTGAAATGAGACTTACTGGTTTCTCCTAAAACTTGTTTAGTTGACTCCAGAACCTTGGGGCATAGCTGAGGTCAATTCTTCACCTGTCTCACCTTGTTACTTGAAGTCCTGTTGACAGAACCTTTATTTAAATACTTTATGAGACAAAGTGGATAGATTTGGTCCTGATATCTGTTGATCATATTAATCTGAGAAGTTAATGGAGTAGCACTATATTGTTAAGTGACAGTGAGTTGACTGCTACCCACAGCAAATCTTTGTAAATCAGAATGGAGTACTACCCAGTCCTGCACCATCCACCTACTGTCCCAGCCACTGTGTCAATCCATCTTGTAGAGAATCTTCTTTTTCTCGGACCCTGTACTTTACCAAGCATAGTGTCTTTCTCCAAAGGCTGGATCCTCTTGATAATCAGCCCAAAGTTTGGCCAAAAACAATTGAGAGGTAAGCTGCTAGGAGAAATATTAGCATTCTTCTTGCTAGGTATGCCAAAGATGCAATTAGATGACCCTCTCTGCCTTGGCTGTCATTCAGGAGGCTGCTGAATGAGGTAATTTCTCCCTCTGGAGAAAAAAAAGACCTGCTCTAAAAAAAAAAAAAGGAGATCCCTAAATCCAGAATTTTTCAATTGCAATACAAAACTTGTGCATGCACAGCATCCACTTGTCCCCCTTTATGTTGCTCCACAGCACTTAGGAGATGGAAGACCTACAAGCTGATGTCTGTGTACCTTGCTGTGCTATAAGTATCAATGTCTCCTGCCTCTAATCCAGGAGTCTCACGTCTTCTGCCAGCATCCAATAGCAATAAGCTAGCTTATTTGCTTGGAAATAGAGAAAAATCAGTCTTTAACAGATACATTCAATACTGTACCAGAATAAATGTTTTCCAGGTGTCCGTTAACAGAAGTTCTGGTGGCCTCATGCATAAGGAGTTGCACTATCAATCAGAAGTCAGGTGGTTTGAATCCACCAGCTGTTCTATGGGAGAAAGAAGAACGATCTCCTCCTGTGGCCTCTGAAAACTCACTAGACGCTGACTTAGAAGTTGGTTCACTCTCTACAGCAATGAGTTAGTTAGTTTAACATGTTTAGTGAGTTTCCTCCCATGGATTACATCTCAACACCAAGAGGACAAAACTCGTCACCACTGGACTGCAATATCATCACAGATAAAGACTGAAATTGTCAATGATTTTCTCTTGCTTGGATCCACAATCAATACCCTTGGTATTAGCAATCAAGAGATCTGGAGACACATAGCATTGGGAAAAACTGATGTCAGGGACCTCTCCAAAGTCTTCAAGCACAATGATGTTCAGTCTAAAGACCAAGGTTTTCCTGATTCATGCCACAGGAGATGAATCAATGCCTTTGAGTTGTTGTATGGGAGAAGAGCGCTGAATAGTCCATGACTATTGAAAGAATAAATAAACAGGTATGTCTTGGAGAAAGTGAAACCAGACTAGCATTTGGAGGCAAGTATAATGAAGCTTCACCTCACATACTTTATGCATGCTGTAATGAGAGGCTATTCTTCTGAAAGGCACATAGTGCTTGGAAAGGCAGAGGGTCAGTGGAGAAGAGGCAGGCCCTCAGCAAGATGGATTGACACAGTTACTCCAGTAATGGGATCAAGTTTGTTGGAGATAATGAGGATGGTTCTGGATAGGACAGGATTCAGATCTGTTTGTTGTTCATAGGGTCATTATAAGTCATACTTGACTCAATGGTACTTAACAACAACATTCTTATTTTAGGGAGCTCTGATAGCATAATCTGAAGGGAACTCAGGACAAGGCCTCCTCTAAATCTAGTTTGAATTTCTGACAGTTCCTTGTCAATGTACAGTTCTAGTAATTTTCTAATAATCTTTGATGAGACTTTACTTGCAAGTTATATTAATTACATTATTCAATAAGTTCTGCACTCTGTGGGATCACCTTCTTTATTTAATGAGAACAAATGAGTTATCTCGTCTTCCAAATTTCTTGAAACAGACTAGTGAACATGTCCAGGGCTGCATGTTTGCAGAAACACTACAGTTGGTACTCCATTAATTCTTGAGGCCTTATTTATTTCATTTTTGCCAATGCCTGCAGCACAGCTTGGACTTCTTCCCTTACTCTAGTACCATTGGTTTTTGTTCATATGCTTCCTGAAATGGTTCAGCATTAACCAATTCTTTTTGATACAGTGACTCTATGTATTCCTTCCATCATTTCCTGATCTTACCTCTATCATTCAATATTTTGCCCAGTGTCAAGTCAGTTTCCATAATTACAATGCTTCTTTGTTTGCTCAAGACTTTGTGATTTACATAAAAGCTTATACAGTAGATTAGTTTTCTTTCCAATAATTCATACACATTTTGTTAATGGCATTGAGTACAAAGTACAATAGCTCTTTCCCCACTTCCTTCCTGTGATTCTAGTTTCTATTGGTATTTCTAGAATCTCCCTGTCCTCTGGGTTTTTACATCCTGAGCCTTTATTATCCTTTTAATGATTGTTAAGATTCATGGCAAAATTTACTTTTCTATTCATAACACAATTGGCAGTTTTTCTCTTTTTTTCCTGTTTAGTCTGTTAGAGCTGAACTGGTACTAAAGGAAGGTCAAGCTGTGCTGCAGACATTGGCAAATAGATAGATAGATAGATAGATAATAAGTAAGTAAGGTCTCTAGAGTTATAATGGAATACCAAGTGCAGTGTTTCCACAAATATGCAGTCCTGGACACGCTCACTAGTCTGCTTCAAGAAATTTGGAAGACTTTCTGTGATGATGAGAAGACCATCTGGCACTT